AGACTTAAATGTTCCTGACTGCCAGCTCTAAAGAGAGCAGTGGATCTCGCAGCACAGTACTCGAGCTTTGCTAAGGGGCAATCTGCCTCCTCAAGTGGGTTCCTGACCACAGTGCCTCCTGACTGGGACATACTTTCCAGCAGGGGTCAACAGATACCTCATATAGGAGAGCTCTGGCTGGCATCTGGTGGGTGCTACTCTGTGATGAAACTTCCAGAGGAAGGAGGAGGCAGGATCTTTGCTGTTCTCCGACCTCTACTGGTGATACAGGCAAACAGGTCTGGAGTGGCCCTCTAGCAAACTACGGCAGACTGACAGCAGAGGGGTCTGACTCTAGAAGGAAAGCTAACAAACAGAAAGGAATAGTATCAACATTAACCAAAAGGACCATTTCTCATATTTACTTCATAGCATAACCAATGATCAAGTCTTGGACATAATGATATGCAGCCTGTCTTCCTTTGCATAGAAATGATGCTAAAGTTTTGTTTTGCTCCTTTGACATGAGTACATAGGGGTTGTAAGTAACTTTGAGCATCATAAGGGACCAAAAAACAAACAAACAAATGAAACACAAAAGAAACCAGCCCCACTATGGACAGCCAGAGAGGGTGCTGCTCGTACTGCAGTTTAGGTGCAAGGTACTCGTGCAGTTGGGCAGTGCACGGCCTGCACAGCCTTGCAGGAGCAGCCTGGTGAAAACTCAGGCCTGACAACCCATCTCTCTGTTTTTACTCTTGCCCTTCTGATCTTGTCACAGCATTCAGAATGCTCTTTTCAAAGCTGCAGTGAGAGCATGGCACTTGTCACCTTAAAACCCTCCAGTGACTTTGCACTGAGAACAAAGTCCAAACTCCTCTCCCTGGCCCATAGGGCCCTTCAGGGCCTGCCTTTGGCCTGCATTTCCCACCTGTTGCTTACCTTCCCTCCCTCCCTTACTCACTGAGCTCAGGCCCCGCTACCCTTGTTTCCCTTCCTTGTGTAGCCAAGCTCATACCTGACTCGGGCTTGCCCCTGCATGCCCTGCATGCCCTCTGCCTGGACTGGTCCTCTACCTGGCTTCCAGCCTTTCCCCAATCTTCACTGGCTAATTTTCTTCTTACCATTTCAGGTCTCAGCTCAAATGTCACCCTCAGGACAGCTCTTTCCTGCTCCCAGTTCTAAAGCGCACTCCTCAGTCACCCTCCATGACATCCCTCTGTCTGTTCCCTTCCAGAACTCACTCCTATCCAATATGTCCTTGTTTTGCTATATTCATGTGCTTGTCATCTTCTGCTCCATTAGGCTATAAGCCCCACGAAAGCTGAGATGTTATCTTGGTCGTTCTTTGCTGCACTATCAGTGCTGAGAACAGTGCCCACAGTGACTGTGCTAGAAATACTTGTTACATGAATGAATGAAAAGCCACAAAGGGACTTGGTGGTGGTGGCTCCCCAGTTTGGCTTGCTCATAGCCTGGGACCTAGAAAACCAACAGGAGCCAGCTGTGCTGGAAAGCAGTGGCCCAGAAGTCAAGAGACCAGAGTCTGCATGCCTTTTCCTGCAGTGGCCTTTAGCCTCTCTCCTGGAGTCTCCTGAGATTGGAGGCCTCTGAGTCAGGGGCCAGGAATCTTTGTGCCTTTCAACTGCACAGTGAGGGCCTGCTTTTTCCTGAGGACCGGAGGTTTTGGGCAGTCGTGATGACAACACTTCCACTTTCCATCATCACAGTGACTTTTCCACGGGATCCTGATGTTGGGGGAGGTGCCTGACTTTTTTGGTCTGAAACTGAAAGTTAAACAGAAAGCAATACTTTTGGAGGCAAGGAGACATACTGGAAAGGGGACTAGGATCAGAGCAACCTGGGTTTGGGCCTCAGTTCCTCACTTATCAACCAGATGACCTTACATATTTTCCTAATTTCTCTGCGATGTAGTTTTGGCAAATAGGAATGCTCATCTCTGCTCACAGATTTGCAGTGAGGATTACAGGAGTGGATACACCTGCAGCTGAAGGATGTCGTCTCTCCTCCCAATGCCTGAGCAAGCTCCATCATGCCCACGGGAAAAGCCTGATGTCTGGGTCACAGACACCAGCCTGCAGGTGATTCCCACGGAGGTCATCAGGGGCTACAAGTGAGAGGTGGGCTTAGCTTGGCGGAGAGAAACCAAAAACAAGTCACTTGTGAGGAAAGCAAAACAGTTTATTTATTTTGCGCCAGAATCTTCTGGTGTGTGAGCCTGTGGAAATGGCTCCGCAGAATTGGAAAGGATGGAAGCGTGTTTATCACGCTTTCCTGGGTAGACCTTATTTGCATTCCTAGAGTTTTCATTGCAGTGTTCCAAGAGATGAAGTTGTTTGTGGGCCAGCTTACCTCCTCCCCAAAGCAAATCACTTGCATTTTTGCTCGTGTGTGGAGGTACAGGGCTGATCTTTGGTGAGCTCTGCTATGTGCCAGAGATGGTGCTGGGTATTTTAAATACTGTGGCAGACACAATAGAGGGGCTTGCTCAGCATCTAAACACAGACTTTGTCCCTTGCCATTCTCTTTTAGAGAGCCTGGAAGTCTAAACACTCAATTTCCCAGCACTCCGCAGGTGTCATTGTGACATGGTTCTGTCCACTAATATGTAAGCGATGTTGTTAGAGAAGGCATCTCTTCCCAGCTAAAAAGACAAAGTTTCAGGAAAAGGAAAGTCTTTGCCTCTATCCCGTACCTCCTCATGTGTCAGGATGTAGCAACTATGTTGCAACCCTGAGGCAAGGCATAAGGATGAGACAAGGCATCCCCAGGCTAAGGATGGAGGTTATAAAGGATAGTGAGCCGAGATCCTGCCATTGCACTCCAGCCTGGGTAAAAAGAGCAAAACTCCGTCTCAAAAAAAAAAAAAAAAATAGAAAGAGTCTAGCCCCTGATAACTACTGCCTTTCATTGGAAACACAATACTGTAAGATGTATCATTAAGTATCATCAGGAGTGATAAAGTGTTGCTAATTAAAGTACAACTTGACATTATTTTTAAGACACATCAACAATGTTTGAGATGCTGGAGATGTCAATTACCCTGATCTTATCACCATACATTATATGTACTGAAACATTAGTATGTACCCTATGAATGCGAACAATTATAATCTGTCGATCAGAAAAATAAAATTAAGAAAAAGATCATGCAGAAAAAAAGACATAGCTAGATTCCCAAGACATTAAAATGTGGGGAAAAACATGTGGGTTTTGAACAGGTGTCTGAACCTCGGAATATCTATCTCTGGACTTATGTGAGAAGAACAAACTCCTAATTCTTTTAGGTGTAGCTGTTGGGCTATTAGTTGCAAGCAAAACGCACTCCTAACATTGACTCCTCAGTATCACTTCTTGAGAGAGGTATTAATATTTGTATTTTTCTAACGAGGAGACTGAGGCACAGAAGAATGGACTTGCCCTGGCATGTAATCACACAGGTCATCAATGGAAGCTGAGCCCATTGCGAGCTCCTCCAACTCCAGTGTTCTCGACCCCACATCTCCACTGCCCCGTTGCTGTTCCTGCCTTGTGTGTGACCTTCATGGCATGGCTGCAAAGAGTGACGAGCCACACCGTTTCCCTGTCCCTCTGCCGTGAAGGACATTGCCCCAAAACACACCGGGACAAGAGATTTGAGCCTGTGAGCTGAGAGCCAGGCCCTCAGAGTTCAGCGACCATTCTGGCACCAGGTTTCTTAGATATTTGGGTATTTTGCATTCTTGATCCTGCTTTAAAAATTTTTTTAATTTTCTTAACTTTTATTTTAGGTTCAGGGGTACATGTGCAGGTTTGTTGTATAGATTTTCATCACTTAGGCAGTAAGCCTAGTACTCAGTAGTTATTTTTTTCTGCTCCTCTCCCTCCTCCCACCCCCCCCCAAGGAGGCCCCAGTGTGTGTTGTTCCCCTCTTTGTGTCCATGTGTTCTTGTCATTTAGCTCCCACTTATAAGTGAGAACATGTGGTATTTGGTTTTCTGTTCTTGAGTTCGTTTGCTGAGGATAATGGCCTCCAGCTCCTTCATGTTCCCACAAAAGAACGTGATCTCATTCTTTTTTATGGCTGTATAGTGTTCCATGGTGTGTATATACCACATTTAAAAAAATCCAATCTGTCATTGATAGGCATTTAGGTTGATTCCATATCTTTGCTATTGTGAATAGTGCGGCAATGAACATTCACGTGTATGTGTCTTTACGTAGAATGATTTCTATTCCTCGGGATATATATCCAGTGATAGAATTGATGGGTCAAATGGTAGTTCTGTTTCTAGATCCTGCTTCTTGCTTTCTTTCTCTCTGTGCCTCCACTGAAATGGGAAAAACCAATTTGCATGTGGAAGAAGCGCATATCCATACTCCCCTATAAGCCTACAGGCTTCCAGTGTGTGGGGCTGGAGAGGCCATAAATGAACTGAAGTTTGGAGAAAAGGAATCCATGTCAAGGCCTCTTGTCAATTAGTCAGCATTCCTTTGCCCCTGCGAACCTGGCCTTTGAGGACAGCCTCCTGGGGACAGAGGCACAGGGGAGGGCTTAGGACTCCCCGCAAAAGGCCAGAGAAACAGGCAGCGCTTGTGTCTGTAGCTTGAGGGAATATTTCCTTCTAACTGATTTTTGTTTCTTGAAGCAGAAAGAGGAGATGACATTGTTAAAGGGGTGTTAGCGTTAAGTAAGAAAGCTTGCGTTTTTCCAGATCTCTATTTTCTGATTGGTAGAGTAAGTTGAGAACAGCAGGGGAAGATTACATATCAGTCAAACGAATACATTAGAACATTATGGGTTTTTTTAGTGTGTGGTTTAAAGAATCCCTTGAAATGCTTAAGGGGCATATTAGGAAGGGAATTGCTCCTTTGGGAGTGACTCATGTCAAATGGGCGAGGGTGTGCGGAGTACAGCAGTTCTCTAAGATGCCAGGCGGAGAGGCAGAGTCTTGGCTTAACGTGGGACCATGGGTGCTGGCATTTCTCCTAGGACTGGACTAAGGGAATTGGGGGCGGAGGGTGTGGTGGGTGCTTTGTGCCATCTCCTGTTTCCCCATCAGGTGCAGGAGCAAAGTGGAAAAGTCCTGCGGAGTTTTTCTTCTCTGATACAGGGGACGCACAAGCAAATGATCTTTTTCTGAGAAAACACATTGAGAGCAATTTCCCGACCCCCACCCCTCTAAGGTCCACCCAGGACCCCTAAGGTTCTCCAGGCTGCTGGCTGGAAAACTGACCTTTAAAACTCTTGTTCATGTACAGCCACAATTTCAGTTCAATTCCAGCCTGGCCTGGCATGGAAAACCAGAAAGTTCCTGTAAGAAATATTTTTAAGGGTCTGCATACCTCACAGGAAGCCTTCAGATTGCAAACATGTGTCGAAACTGCTGACTTGGAGCAAATGGATCAAATTACTCAGTCTGGATTGGAGAGCCTGATTTCTGCACCAGGGAGGCTTGCTATGTGAATGTGCGCCAGGTTGAATGGAGTCTCTGGCTTCAGATGGATTCAAGCTGAAAGAGGCTTCTTTTGTAAGTCAGCTTGTATGGTAATTTCTTTCCTTTCTTTTTCTTACATGTGAAATAGTGCACATTTGTCTTGACCCCGTGTGGGGCTGTTGGCTTTTTCCCTCTGTTTCATCTACAGGACCTGCTCATGTTTCTGAATCCGTGGCTTCATGGTCTTGTTAACTATACACTGGTGCTTTTTTTTTTTCAATTAAACTTTTAATTTTAAGATAATTATAGATTCACTTGCAGGGGTAAGAAATAATTCAGAGAGATTCCGCTTACCCTTTACCCAGTATTCCGTCACCTTGCGAAACTATAGTACAGTTTCGTAACCAGGATATTGACCTTGATGTAATCAAGATACAGAACATTCCAGCAGAGGATCCTTCTGTTGCCCTTCATAGCCATGCCCACTTCCCTTCCACCTCCCTTAAAGAAGGGGCTCCCTCTTTTATCTTTGGCAACCACTAATCCATTCTCTGTTTCTGCAGTTTTCTCATTTTAGGATAGCTAGCTACGTAAATGGAATCATACAGCATGTAACCTGGGATTGACTGTTTTGGTTTCACTCAGCATAATTCTCTGGAAATTCATCCACGTTTTGCCTGTTATCAATAGCTCCTTTTGTTTAACTGGTGAGTGGTATTCCATCTTACAGATGTACTCTAGTTTGTTTAACCATTTACTCACTGAAGGGCATAAAGGCTGTCTCCAGTTTTTGGCTTTTACGAATAAAGCTGCTATGAACAGTTGTGTACAAGAATTTCTGTGAACCCACGTTTTCATTTCTCTGGGATAAATGCCCAGGAGTGTCATTGTGGGGTCAGATGGTAGTTGGTATGTGGTGTTTTGAAACCACCAAAGTGTTTTCCAGAGTGGCCATACCATTTTACATTTTCACCAGCAATGTATGAGAGATCCAGTTTCTCTGTGTCCTCACCTGCATTTCCTGGGCTTGCCTTTTATTTTAGCCGTTCTGAGAAGTGTGTAAGATACTTAATGGCTTAAACTTCCATTTCCTAATAACTAGTGATGTTGAATGTCTTTTCACCTTCTTATTTGCCATCTGTATATCCTCTTTGGCGAAATGTTTGTTCATATCTTTTGCCCATTTTCTAATTTTTTTAATGTTGAGTTTTAAGAGTTCTTATGTATTATAAATAATAGTACTTCATCAGACATGTGGTTTACAAACATTTTCTCCTGGTTTGTGGGTTATGTTTTTCATCCTCGAAATGGGGTTTTTCACAGGATGAAAGGTTTAAATTTTAATGAAGTCCAGTTGATCATTTTTTCCTTTTGTGAATCATGGTTTTGGTGCCGAGTCTAAGAACTCTTTGCCTAATCCTAGATCATGAAGATTTTGTCCTGTGCCTTTTCTAAAAGTGTTACAGTTGTATATAACTCCATGATACATTTTGAGTTAATTTTTGTAAACCATGTAGAATTTGGGGAAAGGGACTATTTTTCTCCGGTAGGAATTCAATTGCTCCAGTACCATTTGATGAAAGGGTTCTCATTCCACCACTGAATTACTTTTGTACCTTTTCCAAAAAATCACGCAAATTTGTGCCAGTCTATTTCTGGGTTCTCTATTCGGTTCCAGTGAGCTATGTGCCTATCCTTACACCAGTACCATCTAGTCTTGGTAAGTGTAGCTATATATTTTGATATAATAAGTCTTGAAATTGAGTAGACTAATTCCTCCCACTTTATTCTTCTATTTCAAAATTGGTTTAGCTATTCTAGTTCCTTTGCCTTTCCATATAAATTTTAAAATAAGCTTGTCTATATCTATAAAAATCTCGCTGGGATTTTGTTAGGAGTTGCGTTAAATCCGTATATACATTTGAGGGGTAATTATCATCTTTCCTCCGTTGAGGCTTCTAAGCCATGAAAGCAATGTGTCTCTATTTTATTTAGATCTTTGATTCTTTCAATAGAATATTGTAGCTTTCAGCATAAAAGTCTGCTATGTGCTGAATGTGTCCTCTCAAAATTCACATGTTAGTGGTATCCCCAGTGAGGTGGTATTAGGAGGTGGGGCCTCTGGGAGGTGATTAGGTCATGAGGACAGAGCCCTCATCAATGAGTTTGGCGCCCTTATGAAAGAGGCCTGAGAGAGTTTGTTTGCTTGGACACAGCAAGAAGATGCCATTTATGAAGCAGAGAAGGAGGGCTTACCAGACACTGAATCTGCTGGTGCCCTGCTCTTGAACTTCCCAGTCTCCAGAACTGCGAGAAATAATTTTCTGTTGTTTTTAAGCTACCAGATCTAGGGCATTTTGTTACAGCAGCCTTAATGGACTAAGACGAAGCCCTGCACATGTTTTGTTAGATTCATATCCAAATGTTTCCTTTATTTTTGAGTGATTGTAAGTAGTATTGTATTTGTAATTTTTGTGTCCATGTTCATTCTGCTATATGGTAATATACTTGATTTTTTGTGTATTTATTCTGTATCCTGCAACATTGATGAAGTTATTTATTAGTTCTAGAAGTTTTTTGTGCAGTCTTCGGAATTTTCTACATAGACAATAATGTTCTGTGCAAGTGGGGAGAGTTTTATTCCTTTCTTTCCAATTTACATACCTTTTATTTCTGATTCTTGTCTTATTGCACTGAATAGAACTTCCAGTACTATGCTGAATAAGAGTAGTGAGAGAGGATATTCTTGCCTTGCTTCTGGTCTCAAGGAAAAAGCAGTCAGTCTTTCATCCTTAAGTATAATGTTAGCTGTACATATTTTTGGAGGTGTACTTTATCAGATCGAGGAAGTTCCCCTCTATTCCTTTTTTTTTTTTTCCCCTGAGAGTTCCTTTTTAAAAAATCATGAACAGGTATTGGATTTTGTCAAATGTTTTTCTGCTTCAATTGATATGACCGTGTTTTTATTTTTCTTTCACTTTCTTTAGGCCAAGCAATCTACCATTCAGAATACTTTGAACTACCAATAATAGATTAAACAAGATTAAAATTTGATTAAATTAAAAGCAATGTATATATTTTTTTCCTGAATAAGACATCTGGAGGTAGAGAGTTCCAGGGTTGGTTAATAGAGCAACTCAGTATTGTCAGGGCTCTGGGTGTTCTCTGTGATTCTCTGGGCTTTCCCCTCGTGGTTACAAGTCAGCTACAGAGGTCCCAAGTGCCCCTAGTAGGGGATGTTCTCCTTGTTTTTAACCACAAGGAAAATCTTTCTGAGAATCCCTGCAGGCTTTTATGTCTTGTTGACCAAAGTGAGCCCGTGTGAAAACACAAACCAGTCCAGCAAAGGGAATGGAAGCGGGCGAGGAGTCCATGAGCAGTTTAATGCAGTGTTTCTTCCCAGGATCCCTCCAGGCGCTGGATGACAATCTGTCTGCAGGATTGCCCCGCTCACTGCAGGACGTTCAGCATCCCTGGCCCTCACCTATTAAGGGGCAGTGGAGCCCTCCGGCCATGCTGACAACTTCTTTTAAGCTTCCCCTGGGAGTGGGGGTGGGGTGGGCAATAGCACTTCTCATTGAGAACCATCGGTTTTAACCAATTATGATTCACTCCAAGGTCAGCCAGTGGAGTGACCAAGCCAGGACTGGTTTAGTTTAATATTATATATCGAATTCCATATTATCTTCTTTTATTTCTCATCACTGTGACATCTAATAATTATTGTGTGTTTGTTATGAGATGCAGTGTACTAAATGATTTATATCCTTTATCATTTAAATTTTTATAACAACTTTAGAGGATATGTACTCTTATTGTCCCCATTTTACTGACAAGGAAATTGAGGCCTAGGAAGATTAAGGAAGTTGCCCACAGGCTGATTCCAGAATCAGCATACGCTGCTACACCGTACCACTTGCCCAGGAAAATAAGTCTTTGCTATCTTTTGCTGTCATTTATTCTGAGTGGTAGCAAGACATTCTTCAAAAGCCAGGTGATTCTTCCTAGGTTGTACCCACAATGTTAGTCCTCCAGTTAGAAGCATTGTAGAGGGAAGATGAAATGCATTTGCTCTAGTTATGTATGGTGGAGAAGGGGTAATAGATGAAAGCATGCTTTAGCCATATTATTTTGCTTTTTCTAAAAAGAAAACTCCTTATTAGATAAACACTTTAACTATTAGGCTCTGTCTTAATTATAACCTAGGCTTTACAGTTCTTAAGCAAAGATATGACTAGGGCAAAATTAAAATATGGCAATGAGTATACATTGTCTCATTCAAGTGCTGTTTTTAGTAACTCCTTATCTAAGCCTTGGCGTTCTTCACACTTTTACATGTTCTAAGTGATTCCAGGCATTGCAAAGCTCTTTTGCCTGTGCAAGGCTTCCAGGAACCCAGCCACTGGCAGCTTTGGTGTATGCACATGCTTAAGGAGAGACATTTCTGTGGACAGGCGCAGTGGCTCATGCCAATAATCCCAGCACTTTGGGAGGCTCAGGTGAGTGGTTCACGAGGTCAAGAGATTGAGACCATCCTGGTCAACATGGTGAAAACCTGTCTCATGGTGGTGGTGCGCCTGTAGACCCAGCTACTTGGGAGGCCGAGGCAGGAGAATTGCCTGAACCCAGGAGGCAGAGGTTACGGTGAGCCGAGATCGTACCACTGCACTCCAGCCTGGGTAATAAGAGCAAAACTCCATCTGAAAAAAAGAAAAGAAGGAACATTTCTATCGTGCCTGCATTTGGAGCTATTCATGAATGACTCTTCTTTCTTTTGTCTGCTTGTCCATCCATCCTTCCATCCTTCCATCCATCCATCTAGCCATCCTTCCATCCATCCATCCATCCATCCATCCATCCATCCATCCATCCATCCACTGAGCCATTCTTTTGTTCAACAGTGACTTACTGAATTCCTACTTACTATGACTCTTCTATATTTGACATGCTACACAGTGTTTAGCAATGACTTCTATTCAAGAGCTAGTTTTTAGTCTTATGCTGCTTTTTTCTTGTTATTTATCTTTTGCTTTTGTAGCTCAGAACAGAAAAATCTGTCGAAAAGATCTTGCTACCAGGCTCTGGACCCCCCTGGTCCATGGCTATGTCTTACTGTCTTTGTGTCTTTGGGTTGAACAATGCCGGCAACATGGTGCATGCTTAATATTGCTCATGGAACAAAACTGTGTGGTTTCTGTTCAAGGGAGTGCTGCCAACTCTCTTTTGATTCAGAATAGGTTTACCTAGGTGATTACGTCACTATCATTGTATTTCCTCTCATTTCTTCCTCGTGATAGGACAGATCTTACTAAACAGTCAAAGATTATCTATTACATGATGCCATTCCTCTTACTTTTCATCCCAGATTAAATATTCTTGGTCCTTCAATGCCCACTTCAAATATCAATAAACTAGTAATCTTTCCCCAACCTACTGAAGTCGCCACGTGGAGTTGGTCATTCTTTCTGTCAGTTCACATAGCATCTCCTCCATTCTCTAGCCAAACATCTCTCTGGCTAAGACAGTGTTTGCCAGATTTCTACCATGTGGAGCTACCGTTTTCCTTCGTAATTAACAAGTAATCTCTAGAGCGATACTTTGAGGTTGTGTGACTACCCCCCATCAGGCTTTTGTCTAGTGTTTTTAGTATCCACTGGTGATAAGTATTTATTATCATTTTAAAGTCTCACCATAACCCTGTGAGGTAGACACTATTATGAGTCATATATTTACAATGAAGAAATTGAGTTTTAGGGAGATGTCAGCCTGTTTGTCAGCCTGTTTGTTTATCCCTTTATTCATCCACTTAGCTATTCATTTATTCAGCAGTGATTTAGTGAATACCTACTTACTGTGACCCTGTCAAGTTTTACAAGCCACACAGTGTTCAGCAAAGTGTTCATATGCCTGTCTACTCTCTTGATTATGTGTTTGTTTCCTCCAATAGGCCATGAGCCCTTCAAGCAAAGACAAGAAATAATCTTATTGCTCTTTTCACATCCCAAGTACCTGACACAAAGGAAGGTGGAGGAAAGACAGTCAGTGGCTGTGGAATTGCAGTATACATGCAATAGGGCCTGCCTTCTCTTCAAGCCTTCCTCAACAAGCTTTGGTTTTCTTCTTTTAAGCTTCAGAGAACATTTAAAAAGCACACAGCAACAGTAATTTCATCAGCTTGTGAAAGAGGATGTCAAAAGAGAAAAACCAGGGCAGAGTTGACACAAATAATCAGAGGATGTCCCCATTATAATTACAGCAACATGGATTGAGTTATGCCAGCCCCTGAGATGAATTTGATTTCCTCATTACACGTGTAATCTTAATCATCCTCTCAGCATCCCTTTTCTGTTTGGTATTTCACATATGGGTCTGATGTCTCCCTGCTTTGTAGTTGGTAAAAACTAATCTTCAGAATGGGCTAGTGGCTTGAGCCATCTCACATAGCAAGACAGGCACTGAGAGGTGGGCATAAAATAAGCACGATTAGCTTTTAATTACTTCAATAAAGTCAAGAGCTCACCATTACCAGAATATCCTATTAACTATTTATTGAACCTTTATTGTGTGCCAAGAACTTTACATGCATTATCCTTTCTCCCAATCTTTATTTTGAAAACATTTAAAATCTGAACAGCTGGAAGAATATACAATGAAACATCTAGTTTCACTAATGGATTTATTTTGTACACCTAGTTCCTTACAGTTAGTTTCACATTATTGTCTTATTTCTCTCTAAATGTATTGGAAAACATTTAATAACATGACATTATGACTTTGCTCCTAAATACTCCAGCATACATCTCTTCAGAGGAAGAGCATTCTCTTACATGACTAAGGTACAATGACCATACTCAGGAAAGGTAACATTGAAATAATTTCATTATCTGTTACATAATCCTTATTCAAATTTTCCCTATTTTCTCAATAACTCCTCCCTCCCTCCCTCCCTCCCTCCCTCCCTCCCTCCCCACTTCTCTCCCTCCCTCCCTCTCTTACTCCCCTTTTTCTCAATTCTGGACCTAACAGAGGATCACACATTGCATTTACTTTTTGTAATTAGAATCACTTCCCAGCCATTCCCCTCAACCCTGTTTCATGACATTGACAGTTTTGAAGAATTCAAGCTACTTGTTTTGCAAAATGCCTTTAGTTTAGATTTGTGTGATATTTCCTCATGGAAAGATTCAGGTTAAATATTGTTAGCAAGAATATTGCATAAGTGATATTGTGTCCTCCTTTCATCCCATCGAGGGCATACAATGTCATTGTGTCCCGTCACTGATGACGTATAATCACTAGGCTAAGACAGTGTTTGCCAGATTTCTACCATGTGGAGCTACTGTTTTCCTTCGTAATTAACAAGTAATCTCTAGAGCGATACTTTGAGGTTGTGTGACTACCCCCCATCAGGCTTTTGTCTAGTGTTTTTAGTATCCACTGGTGATAAGTATTTATTATCATTTTAAAGTCTCACCATAACCCTGTGAGGTAGATACTATTATGAGTCATATATTTACAATGAAGAAATTGAGTTTTAGAGAGATGAAGAAACTTACCCAAGGTCTCACAGCTGGTGAAGGACAGAGCTGAGATTCCAGCCCACATCTGGCTGTCTCTAAAGCTAGTGCTTTCCCTACTACGCTGCACTGGCTGAAAGTAGAGTTTCGTATCTCACTTGCCCTAGACAAGGCAAGAGAAAAGTGATAGTCAAGATCATATAAGACACAGTTTATTTCACCTCTCAACAAGTCTCTTTCCTCTTATTTCCTAAACACTTTTCCCCCCACAAAGCCAGATGCCTCTCAGTTCACTCTTGTCTGACTGTTAACCTGGAATGTGGTGAATAAATTACGTTTTAGTCCAATGGACCTTACGATGTGGAGTTCTGCTCTGATTCCATCCCACGGTGCCCAGGATCAGCTGCTTGCCAGCGCCACACTGGGAGTGATGTAAGTATGTTCTGGAATCATCCATTCCAGTGTGAGAAATACATAGGGAGGATGACAGTGAATCCTTCCGGGTCCTTTCATAAAGAAGTTGGGGGTACCCAGACATGGAGGTGGGGAATATATTTTTCTATTAGTTTCAAAGGAAGAGGTTCCTAGCCCAACTCCCTTCCTTTGTAGACGAAGAAAGTGAGCCCTAGACTAGTATGTGGACTCTCCAGGGTCAATGCTGGTGACAGACAGATCTGGGGCTGGAACGACAGATTCCATGCTTATCACGCTGCAGAATCCCTAAGGTTATGTTCTTGTCTAGCCCTACTCGTTCAGCCCCTAGTTCTCTGCTGCCCCTCCCCCCCTCCCCTTCTCAGACTTGTCCTTTGGAAGGCGTTTGCTCATTCTTTCCTTCCTCCCTTTACAGGGTTGTTCATTCTTAACCAGCATTCATTATCCTCCTGCTGTATGCCAGATCCTGTGCTGACTATAATGGGAATTAAGCAAAAAGAAACACAGTGTCAGCCTTGAAGGAGGCCACTGTTCAGGTGAGAGAGGGGAAGAATATAATCCGACACCATGATTGGATCTGCTAAGCACTAGAGCCATGCTCATCTACTGCCCTGGGAACACAGAAAAGGGAAGGGTGCTTTGAAATTATGTAGCTGCTTGGGATTTTGCTGGGGAGCTACCCAAAGCATAGCTCCATGACTCAACACTCCTGGAATTCCATTTCCTTTTGCACCTCTTCCCAGAGGAAAGGGAGGGCAAGTATGGGAAGCAAAGGAAGGGCAGGATATGGTTGATATGTTTTGGGGAGACTCTGAAGGGACCCAGAAACACACCAGATCACAGACTCAAGACTAATTGGTGCAGCTGGGTGGCTGCATCTGCTGCAGGCCCTTAGGAGCCTAAAGCTGGTTACTAACTTGGCTCAGTTCAGAGAGCTCGAGCCTCCTCCAAGGCTGCCCAGTGTCCAAAGCTGCCTGTGCTGTGGGCATGGAAGAGGAAGCCAGCAGGGTTCAAGAGAGTGGGGAGAAGAAGTGGTGAGGATGCTGAGAAGCCAGGACACAGTTGCCCTGGGGCACTCATTGCAACTCCAGCTGCAGGAGGCCCTGTGGTCTCCCCACTTGCTGTTCAGTACACTGCATAATGGGCATTTAGTTATGGGATCTAAACTAAGCCCGAATCTTATTCTGCACAAGGGAATAATCACATCACAAGCTGGAAGGAAGGAGTATGCTGTGCTGATTAGACCAAGGCAGTGAAAAGTTCTGGCTGCTTTTTTTCTCTTCCTATAGCTGACCGATGGCACAGTTCAGGTCAATTAGGAAACATCTGCTTACCTACCAGTGAACTGATGTAATGACTTCATACAGCGTGGCTTTAGGATATGCTGGACTTCCCAGGTGAGCCATCCTTCCCTTAACAACTGGGACAATTGAATGACATTTTACTGTGCCAGCCTGTTTATGGATTACCCATTTAATCCTCACAGTAACTCTAATATTAGTTACCATTACGATTCCTATTTTGCAAAGGAAGAAACAGAAGCTCAGAGAAGGTAAGTTACTTACCCAAGGTCATACAGCTAATAAATACGGAACTAGGACTGAATCAAGCAGTATGATTTCTGAGCCCACACTCAGCCATTGAGGAAAATTGCCTCTTATTCCCATGGGGATGTGACTTGGGCAGGAGTTCTAACACTTGTTACAATTTGTAGTCATGTTGCTCATTCCTTTTGCTCTTCATTAGATTATAGGCTCCATGAGGTCAGGGAACAGGCAAACTTGTTCACCACTGAGCCCCCAGAGCCTAGCACCTCTTAGCACATAGTGAATGTTTCATTCATATTTTGGGCTGAGCGAATAGCTCTGGACCAGGGCACATAGCCTATTTAGTGTTTTGACAATGACACTGACAGGAGAGGCCAATGGTATAGGCCATTTGCTGGGTCTGAATTGTTCAGTTATGTGAACTCTCTGGGTTCTAGGCAGTGGGCTCTGGGAGGACTCACCAGTTGCTCCTTTTTTTGCCCTTGCTCCCATCTCCTATAGCATGCACTCATCCCATGATTTATTTATTTGATAGCTCTTTCGTGAGCACCTATTATGTGCCAGACACTGTTCCAGCTGGTTCACTGGAACAAAGCAGATAAAAATGCCTTTCAATACAGAGCTTGTAACCCACTGGAAGGGAGAACCATGAGCAATAAATAGGCAAAATGCACAGTGTGTACAATGGAATACGAGCTTAGGGGTCGATATAAAGGGTCAGGGAAGTGGGTGGCCAGTAAAGGCCTCATTAAGAAGGTGGCATTTGACAAAAGGCTAGAAGGAAGTCAGGGGGTCAGCCTTGCAAATGCCTCAGGGAGAGGAAAGGCCAGCACAGACGCCCTGGGGCAAAATCACGCTGTGTGTGGGAGGAGCGGAGCAGTGGGGAGGTCACTGGAGTGAGAGATGGGGGTGATGGGAGAAGGGTTTGGAGAAGTGACCAGAGCTAGGCTGTGTGCAGTCTTGGAGGTCATAGTAACTGAAGCCCTTGGCTTGAATTCTGAGTGGAATGCAAAGCCGCTAGAGGATTTGGGCCGAGGAGGATGTGGTCTGACTTTCCATGTTATTCTGTACCACAGCTATTTGCATATCTGTCTCCCCCTCCAGACTCTGAGGTGATCAGCACCGGGACCATTCCCGGTACTTGATAGTGATGGTACTTGATAGATGTTTCAATTCATGGCCGTCAAATGAATGAGCACACGAAAAATGCAGAACCAAGTGCAGAATGAAACCAACTGAACGAGGGTGCAGATGGGGACCCAGAGGGCAGATGAATGCACTCTGAATTGATGAATGAAGGACGTTTAATGGAGCAGATACCTTTTAATCTAGGACAAGAAGGAAGAGAAGTCTATCCACAGATGGAGAGAGAGGGGGAAGGATATTGCTCCCGAGCAAAGGGTTGGAGGTGTGAAAGTGCAAATTAAGAAAACACAAAACAACAGACAAATGTTTCTGGTATGCAGGATGAGAGGACGCACACAGTAGTATCAGAGGCCAGAACTGCAGCCCGGGGCCAGATCATGGAATGACTTACATGTCAAGCTAAGAAATTTGCATGTTATACTGCGGGCAACGGGGGGCCACTGCAGGAGTTTACAGGTGTGGGGCTGTTTTCAATGGTGGAATTCAGCTCATTAGGCTTTGGCTTGTAACCAGTGAGGAAGGTGGAGAGAGCCAAGAATGGTGCTGTGTATGGGAGGCAGTGCCTCACAGGGTGGCTTCAACACAGCACTGTTTATTGTGTCAATTAAGGAGAAATACTGTCATGCTCAGAAGGAGAGTCTATCTCATACTTCACCGCAGCTTTTGGGGATTCCCCTATTGTGGAGCCCTCTGACATTGCACAGTGAAAGATTAAGTGATTTGCTCAGGTACATTCCAGTAGGAGCCTGTGTCCAGCTCAGGAGTAGTGATGAATTTATTACGCTGCTCATCCAACCATCCAGCCCTTATGTAAAATCAATCAGCCGTTAGCTTCCTGGGTTCATTTCATTTCTTCTCCTGTGCTGGAGGAGGCTGGTAGAGAGTCAAGACGTGACCTGCTGTGCCCCTGGCTGGCATGTAGCTTTATTACTATTTAGCCTGGAAGCCGGAATTGGTCATGATGAGGTTAGGAGGCTCACCAGGCATGGAAAATGCAAAGGCAGTCATCTGAGGTCATCTGATAGATCTGGCAGTGAACCGTGCTGGGTTCTAAGTATGTGGTGGCACTGCTCACCATGGGGGGAAATGGCCTTGGGAGGATGGAGACGAAAGTCCATGACAAAGCAAAAGCTGTCCTCAGCTATTTCTCTGAGGGAATGGGCTTGTTCCCAGACTGGAGGCTAAGGTGTCCACTTTCTTGCCTTGACTCTGCGTGGCTAAGACTGTCTCATCCTGTCGCCCTTTCACTATGACTTAAGTCTAAGTGCACTGAAAGGGCTCACTGGCTCCCCCCACCATACTTCTGCGGTGGCATTGTGGAGCGGGCCTGAGCACCACTCACTAGTGTGTTTTCAGCCTAGGGTTATGGTCACTGTAACTCACTCCAGATGGAACACTCAGGTATCATGAACCCACAGGACACAGATGCACATAAGCAACTCTTTTACCAGCACGTGGCTTTCAAAGTTGGGAATTAGGGGAGCTGGAGAAGGGCAAAAATAGAGTGGCTCAGAGAATGCCCAGTGTCAAGCTTTCAGGGGATTTAAATAAGAAGTCAGCAGTTTGGGGAGTGGAGGGAGAAACTTCTCCCAGTATCCCCAGTTTTCTTTCAACTGCATTCAGGGGAGAAAAACCAGTATTCCTGTGCTGAGATGCAGCACGTTTGCCTATAATTTACTAAAATGATGTGGTGGAAGGGAGCTGAGTCCCAGAGACATCATGAGCCTCTTGTGTACAGAAAACCATATCAGGAATAAACTCTGCTGAAATGATGTCCTTGGATGAGTCGAGGTTGTGCACTGTGCTCTCCTTCACAGTGAAGTTAGTGACAACCGTTACAGCATCTCCTTCCTCATTCCCTTGGGAGGGCCCCCACTGATATAGGCTCATTACCTACATGCTTTTTTTTCCTTAAGACGAAGTTTTGCTCTTGTTGCCCAGGCTGGAGTGCAATGGTGCGATTTCAGCTCACCACAACTTCCGCCTCCTGGAATCAAGCAGTTCTTCTGCCTCAGCCTCCTGAGTAGCGGGGATTACAGGCATGTGCCACCACGTCTGGCTAATTTTGTGTTTTTAGTAGAGTTCGGGTTTCTCCATGTTGGTGAGGCTGGTCTTGAACTCCTGACCTTGGGTGATCCACCTGCCTTGGCCTCCCAAAGTGTTGGGATTACAGGCGTGACCCGCTGTGCCTGACCCTTATATGCAATTTCTATACTTTGGAGGTTAGTTTAAGTTGGACAACTAGTAGAACTGTCATCACGGATGCAGGTTATAGAGAGTATCTTCATAATAATACAAGGATTTGGGGAAGGGCTCTAGTTCAGGCTACAGTGGGCATGTGAGTCTGACTGATAGGGGCTCTATGACTGTACCCCAAGGCCAGATAGAAGAGACTTATTTTGGCTTCGTTAATGAGTGACAGTGCTATGACAACTGTCAAAATCTACTGGAGGCTTTAAAAATGCTCATAACTTTTGACCTAAGAATCCAACATCTAGGAGGAAATTTATAGCACAAAATGCCCACATCAAAAAGCAAAAAAGATCTTAACAACTAACATCTCAACGAAAAGAACTAGAGAACCAATAGCAAACAAATCCAAAAGCTAGCAGAAGACAAGAAAGAACCAAGATGAGAGCTAAACTGAAGGAGATAAAGAGACAAAAAGAAAAAACCTTCACAAAAATCAACAAATCCAAAAGCTGTTCTTTTGAAAAAAAATTGCTGAAATAGGTAGACCACTGGCTAGACTTATGAAGAAAAGAGAGAAGAATAAAATAAACATAATCAGAAATGATAAGGGGGATGTCACCACTGACCCCACAGAAATACAAGCAACCATCAGAAAATACTATAAACACCTCTATGCACTTAAACTATAAAATCTAGAAGAAATGGATTAACTCCAGGACATGTACACTCTCCTAAGACAGAGCCAGGAAGAAATTGAATCCCTGAAAAGACCAATAATGAGTTCTGGAACAAGCAGTAATAAATAGCCTACCAACCAAAAAAAGCCCAGGACCAGAGGGATTCACAGCTGAATTCTACCAGAGGTGCAAAGAATAGCTGGTACCGTTTTTACTGAAACCACTCCAAAATATTGAAAAGAAGAGACTCCTCCCCTACTCATTCTGTGAGGCCAACATGATCCTGATATCAAAACCTGGCAGAGACATAACAAAAAGGAAAACTTCAGGCCAGTATCCTCGATGGACATTGACGCAAAAATCCTCAGTAAAACACTGGCAAACCGAAAACCAGCAGCACATCAAAAAGCTTATCCACCACGATCAAGTTGGCTTCATCCCTGCTATGCAAGGTTGGTTCAATATAGGCAAATCAGTAAATGTGATTCATCACATAAACAGAACTAAAGAAACCACATGATTATCTCAATAGATGCAGAAAAGTCCTTCGATAAAATTCAACCTCACTTCATGTTAAAAACTCTCAGGAAACTAAGTATTGGAGGAACATACCTCAAAATAATAAAACCCGTATGTGACAAACCCACAGCCAATGTCATGCTAAATAAGCAAAAGCTGGACGCATTCCCCTTGAAAACTGGCTCAAGAAAAGGATGCCTTCCTCTCACCACTCCTATTCAACATAGTATTTGTAGTTCTGGCCGTCAGGCAAGAGAAAGAAATAAAGGGTATTCATATAGGAAGACAGGAAGTTAAATTATCTCTGTTTGCAGA